AAATGTAATATAAAAAAGGAAGAAATCATTTAAATATAGTCGCAATGTCATATAGAAAATTATTTAATATGTTAAAATTTAATAACATTTATAGGGAGCTTTTGTATTTATGATAATTTAAATATATATATATGTATTCATAATTAGAGTTATTCTGATGCCATTTCCTCCACTAACTATTCAAATATTATATCACCAAGTTCCATTAAAAATTCTGTTCTATCATCTTCAAATAAGTACCATCGGAATTCACTTTCTTTTATCTAAAATTAATTAGAATAAATTAACATCTTATATTAGCATTTTATATAATCGTTCATCTCTAATTTATGCTATATTGTCAAACATTTATTGAGACAATTATGAATCAAACAATAAAGGATTTTCTAATTAATGTAATTATTGAATCATCATCTATTAGTTCTTTTCATCAAGAATTTCTTATTTTTCTTCTGGTACTTATGAATCATCTTCTATTGGTAAAAATCCTCCAAGTGTACCAGACCAATTAATCACTTTGGCTTCCATATTTTTCAGAATTTCATCTAAAGCTTCATATGTAATGATTAATTTATTTTATTTATTTTCCCATGGATATGGTAAACCAGAGTCTAAAATTAAAAAGATAGAAATACTTAAAAAGTTGGGTCTTTCATAATTCAAAGCTTCATTACATGCATCAAAGACAGCTTTATTATGTATATGTTCTAATTCTTTCATTCCATATTATAAATTATCACTAGGCTAATTCTCAAGTTATATTCTATAAGATTCAAATTCTTAGAATAGTCTTTCATCTAAAGGAAATGCAATTTAAGCATCATCTTCATTCTAATGAAACTCATCCTCTATTTCTTCACCATCATTGTCATATCCATGTATAAGTTGCATTCTTTTAAAAGGAGTAAATCCATAAGGAATGTTTAGATTTCTAATCAATTCTTCTTTATGATTTTCTAATATATATTTAAATAAATCTTTAATATATGCCTTGATATCTTTGATTGATGTAGGTAATTAAGGAATTATAGATTGACTAATTAAGTTTGAGATTATAAATTCAAAATGATCTTTATTAAGTAATAATTCTAGGATTTAAATAAATATTTATACCTTCTGTCAAATTATGAACTATTTCATCTAAAATATCATTTGTAATTGCACTTAATGTTTAATAGGTTTCTATTTATTTGTCAGATTCTATAATATTTTGTCTCATCAAACTTCTTTAATCTAAATTATCATTTTAAAGATCTTCTGAAAATGTTTCTGGCATTTCATCCAAATCATCATGCTATTCTACATCAAAGTGATTAATAATCTTGATATCTGATCCTATTTATTTTTGGGATTTAATGTTACTACTTTAGCAAAGTTATTCATCAACTTATTTTTTTAAACTTTATAATTTTGGATTGTTTTCATCAAAAGTTTACACAATTTATAAATCCCTTTATATTTTTTAAATTGCTTTTGCTTCCCTTTTTCTACTATTTTCTATTGCTTATTTTGTATTTCTTAAATCCTCCTTTTCTTTTTCAAGCCAAATTTCTAATTCTTATTTTTTTATTGGATCATCTTATATTTTTTTAAGTTCTGCTTTATACCTTAAATTAATAGCCTCTTCTCTCATATTTAACAATTCAGTTTCTTTTTTCATTAATTATGATTGTAATGACATTAATGAAGATCGATTGACATCATTCTCTTTTTAAGATAACTGTAATCGATCTTCACTATTTTCATGTGTCTTTTACAATCTTTTGCGAGCATCATTAAATGTTTTTTCATTATTAGCTTCTAATTAGCTTCTAACTCTCATATCTACTGATTATTCAGAATCCCTTCTTTCATGTGTCTTTGTTTCTTTCTACTTTTTCATATGCTATGATACAATATTTAATATTGTTTGTGACATTTATTATTTTACATTTGCAAATGCTTATTTTTCTGGGCCTTATTTTATTATATTTTCAATCTAACTATTCCATAATTCTAATTCTTATTAAATTTACTAAATTACAGAATGAGACAATGCACTTTTTTGATCTTCTTCACTTACAACAGAACTCTTTATATTAGAGTAATGAATTTGTTTTTCTAAGGATTATTGAACATTTTATCCAAAAGGATTATAGAAATACATCTCCTAATTAGCAGGGCTATTTGGTTGTTAAATAATTACTAAATCATCAGTTTAATCAGACAGATTTTTTTCATATCTATTTTTATTTTAAAATAATATATCTTTTTGTTATTATTATTATTATTATTGTTATTATTATTATTGTTACTATTATTATTATTATTGTTATTACTATTTATAATATTTTTATTCATTTTAATATTACTATTAAGAATATATTTATTATTAATGATGGTTATGTTAATTTAATTATTGAATCATTTCATCTTACTATTATTATTTTTATACTTTCAATTCATTTTTTTATAAACCTTTGGTTTATTCTTATTTTATTAATAATTATGGTGGTTCATATCTCAAATTGTCTTTTGGGTCAGATTCTTCATTTTAATCTTCCGTCTCATCCCCATCCTCATTTTATTATTCTAACATTTCTTACAATTCATGAAGTAATTACATTCTGATAGAGAAACCTCTCCAAACACTTTATAATTTAGTTGCAGCCTCATTCATAAAATGGTATTATAAAACTAAATAATCTTAATTAGTGAGTTCATTAGGGTCTAAATCATTTTACTATTTAAGTATCTCTTAAATTTTATCAAGCAAGAATTTAGTTGGTGGTATTTTAGATAAAGTCTCAACTATCAAATTTGTAAATTAATTTTCGCTAATTTAAGAGTATTATTCATCCTATTCTTCATCTTCAATTTCTTAAATATGTTATTGATTTTCATCTTAATTAAAATCAGGGTTTTTTAATTATTGATATCTTTAATTAAGATTCTCATATTATTTTTTCAATTTCTTTTAATCTTCATTTTGTAATTTTTTAGATTCTACTTTAATTCTATCTTCTTTATATTTTTTCATTTCCATAGGTTGTTATTTTCTTTATTCATTCTCTAATGGATCAAATTTCTTTTTCTTCATTGTCACTTTTGGAGTTTATGGTTGTGAATTCTCCAAGGTTTTACACTTTTTGAAAATCTCTTTAACCGACTCATTCAACTTGGCCAGATTCTCCAATCTTGTTAATTGGATTGCCTTACTTTCTTTATTTTTCCAATAGAGATATCAATTATTTTTGCATGCTTGTTGTATTGTCAATAGCTTTCTTTTGTGTCATGTAATGTTAAATCTCATGATTTGGTTGATAGATTTTCTTCTTCAACAAAGGTTCTACTATTTTTGTTTTTGATTTGATTTTTTCTAATTAAATTTGAATAATACTTATTCGTTGTTTGATTTACTTTTCATTAAGTTTGCCTAACCCTAATTCTTCTCTTCTTTATTATTATGATGGCTTAATCACTTTATTTTGCTTCTTTGAATCAACTGTATGAGCTTTCTTTTTCTTTGGAGAAACAGCCCTTTTTGTTTATTTCTTCACAGACACTGATTACTGCGCAGGTTTTTTAATCTATTGAGTTTATGGTTTTGGTTTGCCTTACAATCCCTAAGTTAGTTTTTTCTTCTTTTATGTCTTTGCTGGTTCTATTACTTTTAAATTGACAAAATTATCCAAATGTGATTCAGGAGAGTGATATTTAGGAGTTTGTTAATGTCTTTGATGCATAACTGCTATATTTGGCTCTTACATTCTTCTTCCCTGAATCTATGAGTCGAAGGATCTAAATGTATTACACTGTCATACTTAACAGAGCTGTATGTATTCATATTGTATTATTTGAAATTTATACTAAAAATTATATTAAATTATACTAAAAATAAATTAAATAAATAACAATTACTCATTAAATATACCTCTAATTATTGTACATTAATTAATAAACATGTATTTAACAGAATATAATACCGACTATCTTATATTATATGAAAACTTGAAAAATAATGAAAAAATAAGAATAAATCAATAGATTAATGTAAAATAGTGATTTAAATCAAAAAATATTTTTAGATTTGAATCAAAGTATCATTACTCAATTTCAATTTAAAATTCTCTTTTATTTTGAAATTTGATTTAATAATTTAAAATTATGTATTAAAGCATATAAATGCTATTCAGAATTTAGTCAGAATGAATAGTTTAAAATTATATCAAATTCATTTCTTGTTTTTTGATTAAGGCTTCTATTTGACCTTCTCCTTTTATATTTTCTTTTTAATTGTGTAAGTTTGTTCCAACATTTTCAAATATTCTTTTGCATCAGATTCATTTTTTATTTATTTTGCCTTTTCTGCATACACATTTCTCTATTCATTTGATAGATTTTTCTGCCAATTTGTGCTAATCATAGTTATAATAATACGATGCTTATTATATTATTTAATACATTGAACATTCAGGTTGATCTCTTACAGATTTCCATCTTTCCTCTTCCAAATATAAAAAATAGGCAGATATAACAGGGGTTTTAAAAAAATAATTTTGGAATGGTATTTAAGTTTTCTAGCTCTATAAAGAATGAGTTGAAACTCCACGCTTAGTTTTTTTTTTCATTAATAAAAATATTTATTAGATATCAAATGAACTTTTACATTTTTATTATATATCATAATTTATTTATAAATTAAATAAACTTTAAAGGATAATAAATAATATTATATGAAGAACATGAAAAAGAATATCATTGCTCAAATTAATTTAATATTAATTATTACATCTATGTAAATATTTTATTTATTTTGTTAAATTTATTATTTTGCATATTCATATTAATCTAAAATATTGAAATTAGATATAAGTCTAGAAATTAATATATTATACAAAAAAGATCAAATTTATATAAAATATAATTATCAAATAATAGGGATTATAAAATAAATCAATAATAATAATAATAATTTGAAGGGGAAAATTTATTAATGAGATTAGATTAATTAAAATGATTCAAATATCAAAATTGAAATCTCCAATAGGTTAATTTAAATAAGGCAAATTTTATGGATTATTAGTAGTAGACATTTTACTCATATTTGGTATATGATTTTCATCATCTTGAGTTTTTAAAGAATCTGCTAGCATCAAATCATGAAATCTTTAAAAGTCAATTTTATCTTAACTTTTTAAACTTATTTCATTAAACATAGTATCTACTTTTATTGTGGATAATTATTTTCCTCTTCTCTCAAATGCTCTTCTTACATCAAGACTTGTTATATAATTTTTGTTATCTATATCAAATTATTTAAATAAACCCCATAATCTTTCTTCATTTAAATATTATTATTAATTTAATAATGCCATCATAAACTCAGAATATTAGATATTTAAATCTCCATATGATGAAACATCATTTTTATTTGACAATTTTAACTTTTTAATCAATTCTTATATTTCTTTTTCAGTGTCATTAAATCCTAATTTTTTCATTATTTATGTCATTTCTTTAACTGAAATAGTACCACTATGATCTTTATCAAATTCTTCAAATTATTATCTAAGAGATTATATTTGAGTTTCATTTAATTAATTTAATAAAATATTAAGAGTTTCTTTCTTTAATTTGGATATATTTCCATAAGTTCTCAATAATTAAATGGCTTTTTCATTTTCTTATTCATTATTAGGAATAGATTCCATTCTACTAGGAGGTGCAGAACCATATTTTAGAATCCATGGACTAGACAAAGCTTAAGCACATGTAATGCGTTTTTTTGGATTTTTATCAAGCAATCTGATAACAAGCATTTTAGCTTCATTAGAGATTTGTTACCAAGAATTTTCTTTAAACTGTATGTCTTTTGTTTATATCTTTTCTTCTAGAACCTTGAGATTGTTACTAAAGAAAGGTGGTTCACCACAGAGTAAAACATACATGATACATCCTAAAGACCATTCATCACAAGTTTAAGAATACTTACCTAATAATACTTCTGGTGCAACATATATAGGTGTTCCAACTTTAGTTTAAGTTCTAACTTAGGATCTACCTTGATTTGTGGATTAAGGTGGTGGGTATTTCTTACTTAAACCAAAATCAATTATTCTGATATCAAAATCATCATCAGGTGATACTAGCATGAGATTTTCAGGCTTTAGATCCCTATGTGTGACTCCTTGTTAGTGCATATAATGAACTGCTGAGAATAGCTGCTTCATCAAGATAGAGCATTTTCTTTCTGAAAACACTCCTTTTCTTACTATTCTCTCAAATAATTCTCCTCCTCTACAATATTCCATTACAAAATGATAGTATCTCATATCTTCATATGTTTCATAGACTCTTATAATATTAGGGTGATCTAATTGAACAAGTATCTCTAATTCTCTTTGAATCAAATGTAATCTTTAACCAATACGATGCTATTTTAATTTTTTAAGTTACTTTATCAATTGATTTCACTGCATAACATTTTGATTAAAGGCCATTTCTTTCCTATTCTAAACTGAAAGCTAATTTAACAGTTCCAAAAGACCCACTACCTAGTATTTAAGTGAAACGATAAAACTGATGGATGTTCAGTTTAGAAAACCTTCTTATTACAGATAGTTTTTATTCTTTTGGACGTAATTTACTTTTACATATTCCCATTTAAGTTTATAATATATTAATATTAAATAAATATTCAATTAATAGTTAAATATAATTGTTAAGGTATCTGATATAAGTTAATTAAATATCATCAAAGTTAGAGATTAGAAAATCTTTAAAAGTAAGATATTTTGAATTGAAATAATAAAATTATGGATTTACATAATATTTTAATAATTATTAATCATTTAATATTTCTAATGTAATTTAAAAATCTTTAATCCTTTTTATTCGCTTATCTAAACTTTTTTTCCTCAGTAATGCTACTTTAACTACTTACAAAGGAATCTCTCAAAGAATTTGAACTAGATAAAGAAAATACTATTCCTTTATTTGGTTACAATTCTTCAGGAATGGAAACATTTAGATTAGCCTCTTATCCAATTGATTAAGTTTTTTTAGATTTTTTAAATTTAATAGTTCTTTTTTTACTAGAAGTACTTGAAAAGCTCATATTAGTCAAATTAACTAAGCTATTTCTTAATGAATTAACTTCTGGTTCTTTGTCTAATTCATCAACCATTAAGATTCTTTTATTATCACTTGTTAATATTTTAGTGTCTTCTTTATTAGTTTTAAGTATTTTAAATTCTTCATTATTTACTTAATCTATTTATTTAAGTCTTAATGATGATTCCATTGACTTTTTCCTTGATAATGATAAATTTTCAGTTTATTTATTGTTACCCATATTTGCTTATCCAAATGTAACAGATTTAGACATATTATATTTTTTAATGACATCTTATACTTTTTTATTGGGACTAGGTAATTTATCATTTTGTTATGATTCTGATTTACTATCACTTGAGAATTTAACTCTATCAATAGGTCTAACAAAATCTTATAAGCTAATAGACATCATATCATTTTTTTTTTCATTTTAATTCTTTTCAGGAGTTTTTTCTTCTTTATTTATTGATATAAGATTGATTTATTCAGATATAACTTATTATTATTAATGTTAAGGTTTAGTTGGTGAAGTAGGTTGTAAATAAACACCTTCAACAAATTTATAATCTGTTCCTTTTACTTATACTTAATTGTAAGGAATGATAATTTAAGGTGGAGCTGCTGGTACTTCAATAAATTCATCTTGATTTTTTTCAGGAGAAATTTAGATATTGAATTTTTCTGGTGATTTTTTTGTTTCATATTAATATTCATCTGGTTAAGAATGTTATTATATTTTTTCTTCATGTTTTTCTGGACTTTCAAATTCAGGTGGTTCATCACCTGAAATACTTGCAATATTTGATTAGTTATTTTTCACTTTATTAAATAGACATTAAGCATTAGCATTATTTAATTATTAATCATTTGCATTATGTATTACTGGTTCAGATGAAACAGCAATATTTGATGAACTACCTGGTTGTGATGATCCTAATTGAACAGAATTCTTTTGAAATGTAATATTGAATATGGGACTGGCTCTTCTCCATTAATCATTAAGTAATATAACTTCTTCAATTTTTTTTAACTGTTAATAGTATTTTGCAAGAGAACCATCAATAACTAATTTATCATTCAATTCTTTCTAGAACCATGTAAGATGATTGGCTAATAAATAGATATAACCAGGTATAGTATTTTTGGATTTTATATTTTCTGAAACGAGTGTGTAAATATTGATATCTTCAATAAGTATGGTACACCAATAGGGATGAAAATCACTAATGGCTCTATTGAGAATGTATAATAATAGTTTCTCAAAAATTGAATGAAAGATATCAGAATTTTAATATTTAAAGTAGATTTAGACAATTTGATTGAATAACTTTAATTAATTCATTTGTTTCCATAATTTAATATTGGAAATTCTTGTTAAATTATCAAAGATTTCTAATAATTTAAGTCTTAGAGTTCTGAGTCTTTTATTATCATTTTCTAATATTTAATTAAATGATTCAACAAATAGATTCATTTCTTATATAAATGTATTCATAAAATCTGTTTATTCAAAATCAAGAGTTAATTGATGATGATATGCAATTTCAGGATTTTCATCTATAATTTTTTTGGTTGGAATTTCTTCATAAATATTAATATTTTGCATTGTATATGAATAATAATTAGATATGAGTGATAATATATGAGCTGAACTTTTAGCAAGGAATAATTTATCATGATTTGCTCTTAAACATTTAAACATTTACTGAATAATTTATTTACTGACTATGAATTAAACAAGTTTATGACATAAATCACTAGAAAAGTATCTAGTCATAATTTCATGAATTAAATATGTAAAATTAAGTACACTCATTTCTTCCATTACATCAAAACCACGAAATCCTAATTCAAGTACTTCCAATTTTTTATCTTCATTATTACCATTTTCAGGATTAAATAACTAAATTAGTATATTATTAACAGTAGCTGATTCAAGATGATTTAAAAATAATTTGAGTAAATCCAATTTAAATATTGTTTAACATACTTATTTAGGTTCTTTGGATAATATAAGTGCAAATAATCTTTATATGTTTGACCATTGTGGTTCATGGATTTGATCTGGAGTTTTGTGTAATCCTTCAAAGAGAGTTTTAATGGTAGTCTAAGAAGTATAAGAATTAATATTATACTTCTTAGAGAATCACTTAAGTTAAGGGTGGAAGATCAAGTTCAAAAAATTCAATTGATAGAATTGGAAATACGATAACATGATCATGATTTTATTCTGTAACTTGGTCAATTTATTGTACAATTAAATCTAATAGTTATTCTGTAATGCTTTTTTTATGTAAACTAATGAACTCTATCACTTTTTGATTGAGATTTTTTGCTTGTATGAAAAATTCATCTTCTGCTAATAGTGGTATGATATTTGTTGGATTAGTATGGTATTCATCCATCATATTTTCCATTGGATGTTTAATAGATGTATTGGTCATTCCATTTAACCACAATAACATTTGATAAAATAAAAATATTAATCATAATTATTCCACTTTACTAGTGTCAACTATTCTAAATCTAAATAAGAATATCATAAACTCTCTTCCAATAATCCATATAATAATGAAAACTGAGAAATATTAAAGCCATGCCAATTTCATTATTGCAAGTAAACTCACCCATCTTTGAATAATTTATAATTTATTATTATCTAATTTGATATTAATTCTTAATTGTTTCTCAGAATTGCCTCCAATCTTTCTATTAATATATCTAGGACGAATTTAATATGTTCTTGTATAAATCTATTAAAGTATTTCACTCATCCATTGACTATTTAAATGATTATCAACTAAGATATCTGAATAATATTCTATATCAAAATTACTATCATAATAAATTAATAAAATATACCTAGATGGCAATGGTTCTTATTGATAAAAATTGATTTCTCCCATTATTTATAATTATGATAAACCTTAACCATTTATGATTTCAGATTCTTAAAAGTATAAATAACAATCAAATTAGAAATGTAAACTAGCAAGATAACATTTAAGTGGCAATAATATTGTAATCTATTTAATTTTATCTGCATCTGTGAATAATTAAAAATCAATGTTAAATTATTCAGGTATATTGTCTGCATTATTATCATCCATCAATGCCTATTTAATATATTAATCATTTATATACTGATATTTTTGATCCTTATAAAGACATAAATTAAAAAGATAACTATTATTCAGAACCCTCTATGTTTTAATATTTTTGATTTGTGAAATGATACACTTCATCATCTGATGTAATGATATTTACAAAATGAAATCCCTCATATTCTATGTCTAATTATTCTTCTAATGTGGATACCATGATCCAGAAGTCTTATTAGTCAGTTGAATACTTTCAGAAGCAAAAACTAGTACAAATGGTATCACTATTATACCAAAGTATACTAATATGCAAGTGCATGTTGGAATGGATATCAATTTGCTGGTGTATGTAATTTCAAATTTTTATCTTGATAAAGTAAACATATATTAATCATTATTATTCAAATATAAACTAATCCAATTAGATGAAATCGTTCTCTATCAAGTCTTCGATATCTTCATTCACTGTGTATATCCTTATACTATTCAATTGCACCAAATAGTTACACAATTACAAAGAGATATCTTCCAATTATTATTGTCCATCCACTTTTATTTATTTTATAATAATTTCTCTCTTTTAAGGATCAGTCACATTTGTCTATTCCACTTTACTATAATCAACTGAATATTATTAAAATAAGAAATTTGAACAATAAGGTTAATACAAAAATGGAGTAATTGGTACTCCAATTCCTTGATTCTCTTGAATCTTTATTCCAAAATAATCATAAATGAAAATCCATTAATGTAAGAAAAATTCATCTTATTACATGAAAGAAATCATTTCTACTAATTTAAGAGCTGCTAATACTAAATTTTAATTAGATTATTTATTTTTAAAAATACTAATTAATAAAGTAAGAAGTGTTGGCCACATATTTCTAAATAGTTCATTTAATTAAATTGGTGATAATCTTAAAATAAGAATTCTTACACAAAATAAAATAAGCATAACAAGTCCAGGATTAGCTGAATCTGATTTAATAACTTCAGAAATCTTTTCAATTAATAAATCTAATTTCTTAGTATAATGATCTCTTTCTCCACTAAATATTAGAAAACATATTCTCTCAAAAGTCTTAATTCTCCTTTTATTTTCCTCACTCTCTCTACTAAAGAAAAATGAAGATTATTGAGCAACTTACTCTAAATATTAAGTGAATAAATCACTTCTGCCATACTAAACAACCCAATTAATAATCTTAGTCCAATATTTTAATGTATGTTTAGATTATATAAAAAAGTCTTCTTTATTGAAAATATTAAGTATTGATTCTTTATAAACTTTTAATAAAACTTGTCTTGCTTTATCTAATTAGAAATATAACATTTCTGAAATAATTTAAACATAAATCTAATTATATTGACTTCTATTTTCTAAAAGAGGATATAGAATATCCATCATTTCTTTACATCTTAAAACAACTCTTTCTGTTTTTTCAACAGCATAAGAATTTTAAAGTAACTCCAATGAAACATTTTTAAGTGTCTTTATACACATCAACCTATATTTTGTTTATATGAAATCTTCAGTAACATTGCTAAATTAACTAAATATTAATTTATCTATATCAGTAACTTCATATTAGATTTCTTTATTTAAAGACTTTATCACATTTAAGTAAATATCATATAGAGTTGGAGTTAAAGGAATAACTACTTTGAATTTGATTGAATATTATTGATATAAATCATCTCCTTCAGGTTTTAAACCTGGATCATTCCAAAATATATTTAATTTTCCTCCAAATTAAGCTACATATTTTAATTTATCATTTATAAATTCATGATGTTGATTTCTAAATCTTTAATCTCCAATTATTTCTTTTGGAGAATATTTACGAGTTAATAGCAATTATAATTCTAATAGCCACATATTGGTACTTGGGGATTTTGATAAACCAAATATCTATAGAATTTTCATTATTTACAACCAAAAAGGAAGAAGATTTTCTTTCTTTAATTGATGTGAATCTATTTAAACAAAAGTAAAATAACAATATAAAAAATATAGAATATTTGTTTCTTATTGTGCAATTTAAAAATTTAACATAGTTGTTGCTAATTTCTTTCTTCTATATATATCATAATATTTTTGCAACTCTTACAATTATTAAGATTCTAATAGACTATCTAAAAACAATTCTATTGGACATTACATCATAATCATAATTTCAATAGTCTTTAATAAAAAAGTATTTTAATGTAAAGAAAAAGGATCAATTAAGATTTATTCATTTTCAAAGAATAATCTTTGTAATAAATTGATTTAATTACTCCATACTGATAATAATGCTGTCATGAAATATTTAGAGTAACTCATAAATAAAGGTTTCATCATTTATAAAATTTATGGTTTGACAATATTGGTATCTTTAGTTTACTATTCTTATATAAGTTTATTAAATGAATTGAATTTTTCAAATGAATAAGATTCAATACCCATTGCAGTCAAAGTATCAGCATATTTAATATAGTCTTATCCTAATGACCAACAATTTATATATAATTCTAGAATTGAAGGTAATGTTGACATAATAACTTCACAAGTATTCTGATATTTTTAGAATATTAATTTTGTTGTTTTATTTTGATCTTAAACATTTAATAATCCAAAAGTAATCATAGATTTTACAGTATTAAAAACAGCATTGTCTACTTTCATCTTCTCATAAATCATATCATCTCTTTCTTATAATCCAAGAATATGTTTTAAAATTGTCTTAACTCCTATTAAAATAGATTAAATTTCATGTTGAGATGATCCTTATAAAAAATCAAATTAATTCATCTTTATATCAGATTTTTATTATTCATATTATCTATTTGCAATATCTTTAATCATTTTAAAATATGCAGTCAAAATTTACTAAACACAATCAGTTAATGTTTATTATCTTAAATGTTCAGCCAATAATGGTATACATGTACTAATAAAATGAATATATTAGGCTCTAACATAAAGAACATGAGTATGCATTCCTCTCAAAAGAGTAGGTATAAAAATACTATTACTTACTGATCTACTCATAGTATCTTATATTAATTCTCTTTATTCTTATTAGAATTTAGTTCTAAAAGAAGAATTAAAGAAAATAACTTTAAACAAATTTAAAATTTAAACTTGCATTACTAAATCTTCATTTTCAATAGCATGATATAATACTATCTATAAAGGTTGCATAACATATTCAGCAAATTTCAAAGAGACAATTGGATTTTCAACATTGACAATCAATAATTCTATATATTCACATGCAGATGCATTAACAGCAGCATTCTCTTTGTAAAATTTTAAAGACATACTCTCTATAGCTTATCCTTAAACATATTTTAAACAAATAATAACTAATAAATCTAAATACATCATAGTATCTTTTTACATAATTACACTACCTTCATTTGTGAAATGCATTCTAATATCTTTTATATATGATGATATTTCTGTATCTTATACATATTCCATGAATCTAGCACTAAATGAAATAAGAATAGATTTTAATTTTTTTATTGTTTCATTAATTCTTTTTGTTTCATAAACTTTAGCAAAGAATATTTATTGGTTATCAGTTAAATACCAAGATGAACTACTTTAAATTAGAACTTCAAATAAAGGATCTAAAATTCTTTCTAACATTCCTGTTGATTCTAATAACCAATTTTTAGCATTATGTCTAATAATTGGATTTTCATGATCCAAAAAATCAAGCATAAGAAAAAGTCCAACTTTATTTAAATCCTATAATTCTTTATAATGAGTAGCACTTAATTTCCAAAATAGAGCAAATCGTCTAATAGCTGCTTCTTACATATTTTTAAATTAATGAATTACAACTTCTGTAAAAAATGTTGGGAATACTTTTGATAAATTTACTATCATTTCTATAATTCTTTCATGAAAAAAAGGATAATCTAATAAATTCCATAATTTTTCTAAAGTTAATTTTGTATAATCTTATCCCTCTATTATTTAATTTTTCTACATTTTAGTTCTACTTTCTTCAACAATCAACTTTTTTAAATTACTATATATAATATCAACTTTTTCAGATATTAAAATCTCAATCATACTTTAAATAGCTAATAAAGATATTGATGGATTTTCTTCTTTTATGATATTTGTTATTGATGTAAACCATTATGGAAGTTATAGTACTTCCTTATTTTATTTAAATCTTAATCCTTTAATTAATGATTTACTAATTGATTCAAATTCTACTCTTAATTATTCATCTCCTTCAAGTATAACATCAGCTAATTTTTAATATAATTATCCAAATTCTTCTATACTTTCATCATAATCAGACATATTTGGAGGTCTTACCAATTAATTATCTATTTATAATGGTAATTATTCCATTCTAACTAATAATTTATTTAAAGATGAACCAGGTGATTATTTCCTTAATTCTTCTGGAGACAAGTTTGACAAACAATTCATTAAATTAGATGCAGCAATTCTTAATAATGTAAATTCAATAGATTTATCAAAATTATCTTCTTTAGTAATTAAAATAGTAAATATAAAATTAATATATTTATTATATTATTTACTTACTTCATTAACAACAATCAATAAAAATGATGTAATAGATTCCAATAATCTTTTACAAGATTTTACAATTTCTGGATATTTCTTATGATTAATCTCAACATACTTAATTAAATTAAATGAAATATCTCCAATTAATAATTCAACCATATGATCATGTTCCATAAAAAAATTCTATAATAATTTTATAGGAAAAACAGCATTCTAATCATTTGCTTCTTATTGTAAAAATTTATTAAATGAATTTACAACATATTAAAGTATATCTTTATTTTATTCAGTTATTTAGTACTTATTATCCATATCTGGTTTACCAAATAACCATTAATTTACTCTTCTAGTCACAGATAAATCTTTTCTAATTAACAATTTTAATGAAGCTTCAACCAATATATCTTTTTTTTCTTAAATAATATTAGATTTCAAATGTGTATACATCATATCAAGTGCTTATCTCTTTATTAATTAACTAAATAATATTATATATTATACTTTTCATCCTCTAAACAAGAAATCAAAGCAGATACATAAAGTGGTGGGAAATGGTTTTCATGTGTTTCATCATTAATACCATCTTCAATCATCATCAAAGCTTATTTACGTTTTAATTCCATACTCTATTCAACAACAATAGTTCTCTTTTTAATCTCATTCTAAGCATTATTATTCATTATCTATTCAATTGAATCATCTTTAATATCTTCAATATCTTGATTATTTTGTGTCATTTTCTATTATTATTACTATTATTCTTATGCAACTGATTATGATTTCTATTACTCTTCTTCATCATATTCATCACTCATATAATCTGATTATTCATCCTCTT